TGCCAGCTTTATTAACTTTGACCTTAATATAAATTTTTAATATAAAATGTTGTGTTGAGCATGTATAAAAAGTAACTCACACAGCTATGTATTTCATATCTTTGTACTAACAAAAGTACAAGATATTTTTATTCAGCTAAGCCTGTAAAACAGAACCAAGCTCATAAAGGTAAATTTTTTTAACTAGCCACTTCAGAGAGCTCATGATTCAGTGACACACTACTATTAAAAAAACACCTAGCTATATTTTCACAAACGTTTTTAGTTTTGAAACAAACTTCTGTTTAATTTTAAAAAAAAATTGAACGTACCCCCAAAAGAAATGCAGTATTTCAGGAACATCCATTTTTTTTCCATATAAATTGGGAATGCACTTACAAAAGATATTTCTTTACAAGCATGACTTCAGTCTCCCAGCCCTGAACTTGGTATTTCAAGTTCAGCTACATAGCCAAGTAAATTTGGCCTCTAAGAACAGATCATCTCACACGTGTCTGAGAGTCAAGAAAGCGCTGCTGTTCAGGAGGAAGCTTACGCTTCAGTCTCTTGGTTTGCTACCTGATTATCAATCTTGATGTACCATTAAAAGCACTATCCTAGAGAGAAATAATCCAAAATGATTAGATCAAAATAACCTGCCAATGAACCATGACATAATTACACCACTTAAATGAGAGCAAAGTCCTCAGAAGACAACAGAATCAAAATGCCGTATTTTAGCTGACTAAAGCTCCAACGGCACTTCTGCGGCACGGATCTGAATTTTAGCTTAGCGGTTTTACAAACTCTTTTAAACATACAGCAGAACCCATGCTAACAATGACCACCTTTAAAAACCTTATTCTTAGTAGCACAGAGGACCGGTGCTGGGCATCCAGTAGCTGCCACAGCCAGTACAGATGACTGGTGCTGGGCACCAGGTAGACACCGAAGCAAAAAACCTAAGACCTTTGCTTGCGGACAACAATACAGAGGGAATTAATTTTAACAAACGTAACTCAGTTGCCAAAAACATTTAATGTACAGTTTCGTACCATGCCATTCTTGGCATTATGACTTCTTCTCCTCATATTTGAAGTCAAACTGTGCAATTACTAATGTATGAAGTGAACAAGCGAGGAAGTTTTGTGATGTTACTAGTGAAAACAAACCACACACAAGACGACAAGGCTGGATCTGCCGATAGCGACTTTAAACCAATTTCTTATACTTTCATGTAAGGACAGATTACCACATATATGCTTTTCTTTGCATCTTAATGCAGTATTTTGTTACTTTATTTTTAAACTCTTCCTACGATCTCAGGAGATTGCACCGACCCCAGAACTCTAAAATTATTTTTTGACTGTTCAGTACAGCTTAAACTCTATATTTGACACAAAACATACACAATTTCCACTGCTCAGACAAGCTGCCCTGTGCAATGGGGGTATAAGCAAAAAAAGAAACAAAAAAAAAATCAGTATGCAAATCCGTACTCAGAGCTTTTGAGTTGTGTTCACAACTGGGACACGATACAAACGCAGTAGCAGCTCTACCACAACCCAGCCGCATTCTGCTCCTAAATAAAAGCGTTAAGTCCACACGCTTCCTACCCAGTTCAACCCTGAACACGAAGAAACGTAAAAGAAACATCTTTCCTGGGAAATGACGGCTAAGGTGATCGCCAGGAAACACGGCACATGGAAAAATCTCCCCCTCATCTCACAGGCAGCTCAGGAGCTGGGCAGAGTACCTGAAGTGTGACTTAGGAAAACTGTATTTCATCCTTCCCTCTCAGTAGAACTGAAGCATTAACGTTTCAAGCAAAAGTTGGGTACATTACACGATAGCTGCTGAAGCACTAATGAATAAAAAAGGATTCAGAGATTCAGTTTATCTAGAAAATAGATTTTGCGTTTAAACAGAGGTTCACTTTGTCCATAAAGCAGTTCAAGTATGTGGTTCACAAGCCCCGCACTGAGAACAGAAAAACTTAATGGGCAGATCAAAACTTAGTCTATGCCAGACAGGATTCTATAAATGTTACAAAGTGAAACTTATCGACCTGCCTCCCACAAATTAACTTCTCATCAGTGTAAAATACATCCTGGAAATCTAAAATACTACAGCCCATGGGCTAGTGCCAGTTATAGAAAGACATCGAGGTTTTCCACACAACTCCCAACATCTCAGCTTCGCAGGACAGACTAGATGTGACCACATATCCATACCATGATAAATCCTTTGACAAATTTTTCCCCAGTCCCAAGAGCGGGGGGGGGGGAACCCAAACCCCTATATTCTTCATGCAGAGGAGGATGTGCAATACAGACAATCCTCAAAATATTTCTGCAGCCCGCACAGCTCAGTTGTTTGTATTAACAGAAAGAACCCCGATGTACTAATTCCACCCTTACTGTCGCTACCAGTGAAGAAGTGTTCTTTATTGGCTCTTGCAAAGGAACTGGAAATGGAGACAGCATTTTAGCAAGCTACTTAAAACAGTCTGGTATAAACATACCTATCTGTACAACAAAATTAATCTCTTCCCAGTTTCCAGTAGTTTTGTTAATATGTCGGCACTGACTTCAAGGAGCATATGTGTGATTTAACAGTTTACCAAGTTATTCTACTACTCAGGAGCAATACAAAGACAGAAGGAAGTCACTGGTGAGACTCAGGAACTGCATGCAGTCAGAAATTCAGACATAACCGCTTTCTCAGCTGAGTGTGAAATTCCCAACAGGGTATTCTGCTGCGTTTAAAATGCTAGCTAGAGAGCAAAGCTAAAGATCAAACGTTCTAGATGTCAAGTTCCCCATGCTCCTTCCCTAGCAGAAAGAAAACCTTACCTTAAGACCTTCTGTCTGTGGAGGGGGAACTCTGTTACGCTACTTTCCTACAAGTTTTCCAAAACTCTTACTTTACAATACGTAACGGGATACCAACGAGGTACTTGACAATTTCACTGCTGGTTTTGAAAAGCAACAATAAAATTAAGTCTGGTAAACTTAGGCTTGCTGATACGGTTAAGAAGTATCTCAGAGGAATCACTCGTACAGAATTTCTGATCTGTCCTACCACCAGCTGCACTAGCGGCAGCAACAGCAGAAATACTGTTGTAAATACCCATTTTATTCACAAGTACCTGCTGGGCACGATCACTGAAAACAGGCATAAATTAAAAGAAGGTATCTACAAGCTGACAGCCTGCCTCTCAGTAGCGGCAGCCACTTTTTTAACCTTGCCGCGGAACCCTCCGGTCTGGCCTTGCCCCAGTCACCAGGAGGGGGTGAGCGGGGTCTCCACCGTCCTGTCAACGGCCGCGCTGCTCGGGCCCCCTGCCACGGCCCCGGCGCCAGCGCCGAGGGCCCGGGAAGACCCACACACACACACACACCCCCCCC